ATTACTGTACAGAATTGTTTTTAATAGAAATGTAGTCCTGCTTCTAAAAAATAAAATGAAATTACTGTGTTGGTTGAGCTATCTCAGAGGAATTTACTGTTACCTGAGGCTTTTTTCGTCTGTGCAAGAAATGTCAACTATGCATATTACTAGATTTTTCGGAATGGAGGGTTTGGTAGTATTATGATGTCTAAATTTCTACTGCTATGAGATGTTTCTGGTGCTCCTTTGGATATGTTGCTTCGCAGATTTATGGATAATCTGATTTTACTGCATATTGGGTTAAAGAATTCCACACTGCCATTGGAACACAAAATTAAGTATACTTTAAGGGATTTGATTTTCAAGTAGTGCTGTTTATATTCTGAAAATCTAGTGCCTTTCACATCCCTCACACTGGACACACAGAAACAGATCCTGGATATTAACCGAGGCACAAGAAACACAAATATTTACTGCTTGTCTTTTCTTCTGCTAGCACTAAACAGGCCTTGGCAATCTGGTTTATCGATGCTTTGTCTTATGTTAAAGTCACAAAACTTCCTGAAGCATGATCAGAGCATGTCTGTGTGCTCTAGGAGTTTCATTCTGGGGAAATGGCCACACAGCTGCAGCAGCAAGGTGCAAAAGTGCTGGTGAGAGGTTGGTATGATGCCATGCAGATGTTGCTGTGCTGCTTTCAGCTGCGAGTCTGTGGTTCCACGTCACACCGCACTGGTTCAGGCTCATGTTTTTGCTAGCTTTGGGGTTTTCTGCACCATTGCCTGCTGCCAGAGCTTTTGGCCAGATGTGACCTGTGAGGCTGTGATCCTCTAGGCATTCTTCCTTCTACTCATACCACAGTCCCATCTGCTGCAGGGTAGCCAGGAATCATGTGGTGAAAAGAGCTTCCTTAAATTCATTTTCATTTCCAGTTGTCCATTAGACAAGTGAAAACCAAAATTCCTGGCATTCTGCATTTCAGTCATAAATGTCAAGAGTCAGCATGGAATACTTCCTCCTGAAATGTAGTATTTGGACTGATCATCCTTACATACATTTTCATTAGAATGTGACATGGTTAATGCTCATACATTGTGCAGGATGAAAGCAACATAAGAATTTGAGGTGACAGGGAATGTTAAGTAATGCTAGTTTCATTTTTGAAGGAAGTAATTCCGTAATATTCTTAATAGTTAACTTCCAAATAATATACCTTTGACAGCGAAATAGTTCAGATTTTTGTCCCACTTTCTGGAAAGAAAACACTAGCAGTTCCATTTCCATGCACTTACGTGGACATTAATTATTTGTTGTGATTCATTTTGCCATTGTATTACAGATGTCATAGCAAGTGTTTCTCTGCAATGGAAAGTCCTGTGCGGAGTTTGCTTAGTACCTGGGGTTGGTGGCAATGCAGTAGGATGACTTTGGCAGCTTTTGTGACAAAAGTGTGTCTTTCCAGTACCTGCTGTCAATGCTGTCCTGTGAGGGATGCACGTGACATGTTTAAGCCCTCCACTTGCCAAGTTGTGTTGAAGCATATGCCTTGCTAATGAGACCTGCAGTGCCTCACACAAAGAGGTTTTTTAACATTTCTCATCCTCCTGAAGGTGTGTGGGCAAGTCTTCGTTCAAGCAACCGATTTATCAGCACTCAGACCCCATTCATCGACGTTGGAGCACGACTTGCTGGGAAAGATAACACCCCTTCCTACAGCAGCAGCACTTTTCTGCAAAGTCAGCTTTTGAGGAGACAAGCTGCCCTCTATATATTTGGAGAAAAATCTCAGTTACGGGTAATGACAATTGCTTCTGGTTTATGTCAGCATAGTTTTTATCTGGCTTGAGTGTAATACCTCTGACGTTACACCCTGGGGAATAACACTCTAGGTAAGACAGGTGGATAAATCTCCTAAGGGTGGAATAGCTGTTGTACAAGAGCATTCAAACTGGGAAAGACATAGCCAGGAAGGAAATATCTCGATGGGCAAGAGCATCCAGTAAAGCCCTTGTAGTTGGAAGTCGCCACGTGTTCAGTGTCTCTGCTGCTGCCCTGCCTTGGCCTGGCAGGGAGTAAGGGCAGCAGAGTTGCCTTTGCCCAGTGTAGCTGCAGGGCTAGAGCTCAGCGGTTGGGTTGCAGGCAGATGGAGTGGGGCTGGTGTGGAGTTTGCTGCCAGGTACTCTCTGGCTGCTGTTCTGTGCTGAAATAGGCACTCCAGGCAAACAGCTGTCTCAAGGTACAGTGACTGCTTAGCTGAGCCAGCTGGTTTGCAGTTATGGGGCTTCTGTTAGGGGTTTGGGGCATTCGTTTTTCCATCTTTGCTGCACTCCCAGACTCTCTGCTGCACTGTTGGTATGTCATCTCCACAGTTACTTTAGGTTTTTTTAATTTATGTATTGTTACTTTGCTTTAAAATACAAAAGGAAGCACATTATGTTGTGTATAAAGGACTCAACAGATTTGTCACAATGATTTTACATGACTGTTATTACTGGAATTATTGCTATTAAAACAGGACTGCTGTGCAGTACATGGTGCTAGGGGCACTTTATTATGGCACATTTTGTAAGTGGTGTAAGAACTTTTATTCCCCTAGGCAGATGTTTAAAAACTAAACAGATTTTTTATTAGGAATTGAATTGTTTAGCAGGCAAGACTTGGGATTTAAGGAGTCGGTGAATAATGTGCTCCCCTTGTAAATCACATCTGTTGTCCTTTCCCCACAGGGGTTCAAACTCGATTTTGCTCTGAATTGTGAGTTTGTTCCTGTTGAGTTCAGTGACACCCGACAGACAAAGGCAAGCTTTAAAAAGCTGATGAGAGCTTGTGTTCCCAGCACTATTCCTACCGACTCCGAGGCGTCGTTCCTGAAAGCGCTTGGGGACTCGGAGTGGTTCCCACAGGTAATTCATGTCACAGGTACTTCCCATAATCCAAGTGCAGTGCTGCTCTCCCAAAATACTTCTCAGGCTCTTCTGGCACAGAGCTGCTGTGTCCTAGCCACCTGTTCTTTGTTCAGTGGGACTGCTTTGCATCCTGTCGATCCTGGCCTTCGTAAGCATCGTGATTTTAATTCAGTCCTAGCGTTTACAAATATGGGAGGCACTTTTCCTGACAGAATTTGTGTTTTAGAACATGGAACACACAGGTAGAGATGACCTTTTTCTGTTCGTATAAGTTTATGGTCTTGGTTTTAACTGTTTTATCTTTATTCATATATATATATATTAAAAATCAGAAAAAGGTGCAAACGATAAATGAGCTTTAAGGTTTTCAAGCCAATCTTTGACACTTTGTATGTGTTCCCACCCTGAATTTTGATATGTGCAAGTTCAGAACTAATCTAACACCTGTTGTCTGTTGTGGGATATGGAAGTGTTTGCAGGAAGAGAGAATTGTGCTGCAGTGCTGGGACTGGCTTGGCCTCTGGCCCCAGGTGGGATCACTCTGCAGGGAGCTGTGTGCCATGTCTTCCAGCCAGGGGAGAAGGGAATGGCACTTCAGCCCTGACTGCCTCATCACGGGAACAGTTTCAGTCACAGAGTGGTGGAGCAAAGAGCAGTTTCATTCTGCTGTAAAAGACTGAATCACTTATGTGTTACCTATCTTGTTTCCCAGGAGTGCTGTCATAGTATGACAAAAATGGTGGAAACATTGGATAGATTTTCCTTTTAGTAACAATGGTGTAAAGTCTCATAGTAAGATAAAATTGCTCAGATTCACCTCATTTTTTTGAACCTGCTTATACCTCTCACGTTTGAATTGGTCTCGTTCAAGTCAATCACCAGAGCAGTTAACTAACCCACCTGCTCAAGGAGTTTTAGCCATCACTGTGTACTGAGCATTGAAGTGCAAATAATCAGTGTCCTCTTTCCATATGTTTTGCCCAGTCTGCCCAAGTGTGAGAAGGCATGGTTTAATCTGGGTTCATTGCTGTGTTTGTGGCTTGGCTGTTAATGTTCTGGCCATTACTATTATTCTTCAGTTCATTAATCTCAAACTTCCACAGGACTGAGCAGTAGAAATGTTCTCTTGTAGATATCTTACATGGGTTCTCCCATCAAAATACTTAGGGGCTTCATGGAGCCTCAGCGTTTCACAGGAAATTATTTTAGTGGTAAACCCAGGATGGAATTTCTCTACAGTAAATCTGTCAGCTGTGTTGTTCCCATTCTCCTTTTTATTGCAGCTGTTTTATTACAGTACTCATTGGCTTTAATAGTTTTAAGTTCCTATCTTCAAAACTTTGCTTAGTTTTATTGCAGTTCAGATGGAAATCCTTAGACTGTTAGATTTACTGCTGTCTAACCAGTTGCATCAATGCATTTCTCTGTGCTATGTGTGGATCTCAGAATACCTTTTTTAATATTAAGTATTAAGACTCTATTTCTTGATATTATCTAGAAATTTATCTTATGCTTGAGTATGTTACTCATTCATAATACTTTGTAGCTTCACAGGATAATGCAGCTGGGGGTGATCATCTCAGAACTCCTGGAAAATGGCTCTTCTGTTCTGGTGTGCCTGGAAGATGGCTGGGATATTACTGCACAGGTAAGCTGCTATGAACACTCAAAATAGCTGAACATTAGGAAAGAACAGCAGGCAACTTTTGTACACAAGTGAGAGGTGATTTGGTATAACAGCAACAGATTCTGTTGTGGCAGCAGAGAAGAAACTAGAGCACTGAATCCTTACATTTGCTTGCAATTCACACCGTGAAATAGTTCCCTAAAATGAATTTGTTCCAAAGGTCCTGAGGGACTTAATAGTTCTGAGGCTTAGGCATAAAACCTGCGTTCTGGCCCTGTCCATATGTCAGGAGGAAAGCCAAAAGCTGCCACAACTCTTGCTTTCTCTGTGTGAAGGTAGTACACTGCAAACACAGGAGGAATGAGTTCTCTTCCATTCACTTTCCATAAATGAGGTTAGGAGGCCACACACAGGCAGAAAACTGAATGTGTGCCAAGGTGGCAGTAACACCTGCTGCAAGGACAGGCTGAGTGAATTGAGCCCCACAGCCTCCCTGTGTCCGTGCAACTGCTTCATAGCTCAGGTAAACACAGGGAGCAGTGACTCTTGCAAATAAAACCTGGGGTGGGCTGCCAGCCCAACAGCATGTGAACAAACCCACAGACTGCTAACAGAGTGGCTGGAATCGTGGTCAGACAACGAAGACTAGGGAAGGGGAGATGATTGCTGGGAGGGGAAGAAGTGTGTGCTGTGTTTGAAAGTCTCCCGAGGTGCTGTGTACAAAGGCAGACTGAGGGTGGCTGGTAAGCACCAGAGCATGGCAGCACTGCATAAACTGTCGCCCTCAGGACCAGCTCTTCAAAGCTTTGTTTGCTGAGGGAGAAAATACTGTCTCCTAAGTGTTAATTTGTTTTATTAAATGGGTTTTTTCAAATGTAATTCAAACATAGTAAGCTTGTAATCACTTCCCAAGTCTATAGTTGCTTAGGTTTGACTTTTACAGACATCATAAAGTCTTGATTTAATTGAGGCTTTTTCATGTGAGATTTTATTTGGTTTGTCTTTTTTTAAACACTTAATGCACGTGCTGAAATGCTTGTCATTGAGTTTATGTGAAAGCTTTTGTTTTGGTGAACAATAAGCAGATCATTGAATGTTCCTATTCACTTACTAAAGTGTTCTCCTAACTCCTGTCACTCCTAACACATATTCTGTCTCGTGTCCAGGTAGTATCTCTGGTGCAGTTACTCAGTGATCCCTTCTACAGGACACTGGAAGGCTTCCGAATGCTGGTGGAAAAAGAGTGGCTCTCTTTTGGCCATAAATTCAGTCAGCGCAGTAACCTGACCCTCAATTGTCAGGGCAGTGGATTTGCTCCCGTTTTCTTACAGTTCTTGGACTGTGTGCATCAGGTAAGTCAGTCTGTCTCCAGCTGTAAGCCACAAGAAGGGTTCATCAAGCAGTGTGTGTATGCAGTATTTCAGATGTGACAGTGAGGGTTTTGTCAGATGCTGCAGAAAGCTCTGTGCTTTCTGCTTTGCACTGTGGCTGTGTCCACGGCCGTGGCTGCAGCTCTGTCAGCAGAGATCACCTCCTGCAGCCATCGGGAGCTGTTCCTCACTGCTGCCCTGCTGGAGATGCCACCCTTCCAGCCTGTTAGCTGAGGGCTCCAGGTGAGCCTGCCTGCCTTTTCCAGCCAGAACGACAGGAAAATGCTGGCAGGAGACCCTTAGCAGCAGCTCAGCAGGTCAGTCTGGAGGAGGCAGTGACCTCTCCCGAGGAAAGATAGGGCTGTGCAGTGGTTATGATCCTTTGAAAGTGTTCTCTCCATCCGGGACAGGGCATGGGCACGTGGGTTTGCTGCACCAGCCATGTCACCTCAATAACACAGCCCTGTCTGTTATCAGGAAAGAGTCTGAGCTGAGTGACCATCCCATTGCGAACGAGTTCAGCGTCGGTTCTCTAGAACAGGCTGAGGAGGATGAGCCTGCTCACTGATGATGGCATGGTATTGCCTTCCCAATTCCAACAGTGTGCTGGTAAATTCTAGGGAAATTATTTTCTAGTCCAGTCAGTGGTTGAAATATCCTAGGAATTTACTGCAAAAGGTAAATTGACTCAGCGTTTGTATTTGCAAATTGCTGGCAAATTTCATTGGTTTCTGTGCAACTTGAGACAACTACAGAACACAATTAGATTGCAGCCTGTCCTGAAGTGTACCGTATTATGATCAGTCCTTGCAAATTGCCCATTAGCTGGAGATTAGCGTTGGGTCCTTTGGAAGGTTTCGGCCGTTGGTGTCCACGTGTGCCGCGCGGAGGCTGCGGCAGAGCCAGCACACACGGTCTGTCAGGGCTCAGCTGAGGTACCAGACACACGTGAAACAGGGACTCCTGAATTAGATCTGCATCATCTTGTAAGAAGTCACTGTTTGTGCCAACATCTCCAGGTGTCAGCTGAGTCATTGGTGCAGCCTCAGCCCCTCACAGCAGCAGCATCTGGCAAACATCCACTTTGATCCTTTGAAGGATCCTGGGGCTTGTGCAGAGTATAGTGCTGCTGGCTGTTCAGTACATGGCTCTGAAATGGTTTTGCAACAGAGACAATACGTGAACTTAATTAGCTTTAAAATATTTGTAGACAAAGTGTTAGAAGGATTTGTGCGACACTTGCTTTTGGGCCCATTTGTTTCAGCATTCACAGGGCAATTATTTTGCTGTCATTTCACTTCATTATTACTTACATATCTATTTGTATTATACCTCAACATCCACTTCTTTCCTTTTTTTATTTATTTCTTAGATTCATAACCAATTCCCGACAGAATTTGAGTTCAATCAATATTATCTGAAGTTTCTGGCTTTTCATCACATATCAAACCGATTTAAAACATTTCTCCTGGATTCAGACTATGAGAGACTAGAACATGGTATGTGTGATGTTTATTGCATGTTGCTTGTGTAGTTGTTGGCGTTTTTCTTCTCAGTATTTGGTCCACAAAGCTTTGGTTTAAGGCTGCTCAGCAGTTGCCTGGTGATGATGTAGTGAATGACATTTCAGGTATGACAAGCAAAATGGAGGTGATTCCTGGGAATGGGGAGTTCCTGCAGTGATGATTCCTGAGCTGTGGTGCTGATGGGGCTCGGAGAAAGTGGAAATTCCTGCAGTGATGATTCCTGAGCTGTGCTGCTGATGGGGCTCAGAGAAAGTGGAAGAAATCAGTGCCATTCCTCAGGGGTTTTAGCAGTTTACCCACATAGTTCCATTTCCCCTGTCAAACACCTTATTCTAACAGAAACAATGTCCTAGAGAGTGCATCAAGTTTCAAGAAAGAAAAGCCTTTCCATCTCTTACCTCTCACCTCATTCTCTTGCATTCTCTTCAGCGTTTCTCTTTTTATATATTGTGGTTTTTGCTCACCCATCTGCTGTGGAAGCTGACTGGTTCCAAGGCCTTACCTCCTCTCAGGGCCCTCTTAATGAGACTGCACAGCCACATCCAGGGCTGTTCTTGGAACTTGCTCACCAGACACTGAGGTGCTCTGGATTCCTCTGCTTCGTGGGGTGCTTCTCGTGGCATGTGGTCAGTTTTGCTGCTTTTCTCAAAAGCTGTTGGAGCTGTGGGACAGAACTAGACTTGAGCAACCATTTTAATTCAACAAAGAGGCTGATTTCTATTATTTGCCTGCATTTGAGCAAAAGCAAGGAGTTGGGGTCAGTGACCTTCTGTGGTTCACCCTTAGCCTGTGACATTCCTTTAGGCTGTGTTTCAGTGCATTATCACAATGCTGTCTTTGTGCTGCTCTCATTTTCCCTAGGGACGTTGTTTGAAGATAAAGGAGATAAACATGCCAAAAAAGGAATTTGTATTTGGGAATGTATAGAAAAGATGCACAAAAGGAGCCCCATTTTCTTCAATTACCTCTATGCACCTGCTGAAATAGAGGTATGGGTTTTTTTGAAATACAGGTGGTTTATTATTCTGAGTGATTCCCTGAGTACATTTTAGTATCTTGATTGTTCTGAACTGAATTAAGCATTTGGTGGACAAAACTGACCTTCCTTGGTTGGCTGGAGTGTCTCAGAGGCTGCTGGGCTGCTCGTTCCCTGTACATTCTGTCTGGTTTGCTGTGAGCAGTGGCTGGAGGGCTAAGCAGTCAGGAGTAGCTGTCCATACTTTGGTAGTGTTTTCTTTCTCTTTTGTAAGAAGAAACTACTTTTCTTCATATGAAATGGTGTCATGGTAGCAGAATTAATCATAGCAACAGAATTACTCGTGATGACTGAGCATCACTCTTCAGCCTTTGAAGTTGCCCGTTCCCCAGGCAGTCATTCCCTTCAAGTAAGGTGCCTTATATATTTTTGAGAGAAGAGCCCACACTTTCAACACAAAGTCATCTGTTTTAAACTACCCTGAAAGACCTACAGTCTCTGGCTGCCTCCTTTATATTCCTGTGGTTTTTCCAAGTGGCATGTCCTCCTCTGTTATACAGTCTGTCTCCTTTCCCTGGTGGTAGAGAGTCTTTTCTGCTGAGAAAATGTGCAGGGTGAGTGTTATTTGGGCACTTTTGTATCTTTACCAGGAGGCACAAGGACTGTGAGGCTACCAACCACATGCTGCATCGGAGTTCTTGATAGGAAAGGATCAAAATGAGCAATATATTCTCAAAGATAGCCTTAGTTGTAGGTTCTGCTCTGGCTGAGCCAAGGGTTTGCAGTGCAGCTGAGCAAACTGCAGCATCATTCACCCAGTGCAATATGCTCTGTAGAAATACAAATATCATGTTGTATATCTGCAAGGCAAAGATTCCTTCCTGTCACTGGGATAACACTTCGTTTCAAACAGGCACTGAAGCCAAATGTAAATCTGTCCAGCCTCAAGAAGTGGGATTACTACGTGGAAGAGATTTTGGCCACAGGTCCTTCCTATGACTGGAGCATGGTGCCTGCAAGGTGCAGCGTGGCGGAGGAGAGCGACCAGGCCGACGGGTCCCTCCCTCAGACTAAGAGGAAAATAGTATGGCCATGCTACGATGATGTTAAAAAAATCCAGCCTGATGCCATCACCAGCCTTCTGAATGTAAGTCACACAGAACTGTCCGTTGGCTCCTGAAATTCGTGTTTGCTTTTTGGGTCGTTGCCCTGTGGCTGTACCACGATGAGAAGGATCGTGGGAAGTGTCAAACCAGGTGCTGGTTGTTCTGGGAATCCATCAGACTTCTGCAAAGCTGCTGCTGGTGTTCTGAGTGAACAGCTTTCTGGGAGTGCACTTTAACCACAGTTAGTAACTAGTCATGGATTCATGTTTTTCACTGTCTGTTTTAAATAATAAATAAAATTCTAGGTTGTCTTTTATAAGAACTGTTATTTTTATTTGGGTAAGTGTTGAATCTTGCTTTCTTGACCTCTTTCTACTCACTTTAAAGTAGGTGTGTGGTAATATAACCAAGACCCAGATTTCCATACAGATCAGGAAATAGAATCTGACACTTGTTGGTTTCAACAAGTGAGAGACAGATACACAGACATAAACTGAACAACTTGGCTTGGATTTCTCAAACAAGCTTTCCATGGTTACTCTTAATTTATTCATGTTTACTAGAACCAAACTGGTAAATTCATGTTCTTCAAAATATTTTGGTACTTGAAATAGGTGTTTGATTTTGGCTTTTTCTTCTTTGTGCTCATTTAGACTGCTTAGGTTTTGTCATTTCTTCATTAGAAAATGAAAACTTACCCCATTATCTTAATATTGGTTGTACTTATTTAGAATGATTTAGCATCTGTCTTCTCTTACATGTTTGTTTGTTGAGTGTAATTAGTTGCCAGTCCTCCCATTTGGTTCCCATCTGAACTGAGAGGGCAGATGCCAAGGGCATTCCTCCCTCGTGCAGTGCCCAGACACACGTGGCTGTGTGCAGCTCACTGTTTGGAGAGCTCTCTGCAGACTTGGCCTTGTATTCAAGGTGGGATTGTGGAGCTGCTATTGCAATGCCTGCAAACTGGGATGTGCTCTGGGTCCCCCAAACTCCCCTGAATCAGTGCTGATCTTTAGCCACCTCTTCATGCAGGAAGGTTCTGAATGGATGTCAGTCCTTGCAGACAGGCTTGGATTTGATACCTTCGTTCTGGCACAGCCCTCAGATTTCTTCTGGTCTATTCCCTTCAAGCATAATTGATCAAACAGTGCCCAATTTTAAAAAAAAAAAAAAGAGGGTCTGTTGTAAAACTCCCTCCGAATATGACAGACATTCTCAGAGGAGCAGTGTGGCAGCAGGGATCACATCCTGGTGCTGCCAGCCACCCTGGAGGCAGGTCCTGGAGCCCAGGAGGACACAGAGCAGTGTTCTGCATCCCTCCTGGGGCAGTGCCAGCCATGCACGTCAGGAGACACCGCCGTACAGCAGGGAAATTGGCCATAGTGAAGGATGTGTGGGGCAGGGCTTGTAGAGTTTCAATGTTATTTGTGAACTAGATTATGGAGTAATAAAAGATAGCAATGGAGAGAACATTTGGAAAACTTTGGAGGGGTTGTATAAAGGTTACAAAAATAGTCTTCTAAGTTTAAAAAGCAAAGTGAACTTTCTTTTAAAACAAGTTGTTAATTTAGGGCTATTGCTGATATAGGAGAAGACCTCTCTTTAATCATAAATCCACTGAGAATGTGTTGGTATCCGAAAAATGTTTGAGCCGAGACCATATTTAGCATCGTAAATTACTGGGGAAGATTGATTCTCGCTCAGTTTAGAATGATAAGCCCAAATTTGTTTGTTCTAAAGATGTTTTTCAATTGAAAACTAGATAGTGCTCTTGAGGATGTGAAGCTGAAACGGAGAAGTTACTGTCTTAATTCAGAATTTTCATGGTGGAATGTGATGCTCTTCTGTTAAGAGTGGATCAGATTGTGGCACTTTTAAGAACTGTGAGACAAACCTGTGTGTCAGTTACATCACTGAACATGAGGTGGTGATTGCTGGGGAGAGTTGGCAAGCTCAGAGATGTCCCTTCAGGTGCCAGTGCTGTAAATGCACACCAGAAAGAGCTAGGGCTGTACAGGGGCCAGTGAGTAGCCAGCACAAGACCAGAAATGGCACTTCTGATTGTGAGCTGCTTTGTAACTTCCATTTGTGTGCCAAAAAAGGCTGATCCATCAAACCTGACCCTGAACCAAAAAGCTTATTCCAAATACTGAACAACTAGTGTGCCACTTGTTGTACTCATGGGTCTGAGCACTTGGCAGAGCACTGTCTGCATCGCTGGTGTCTGCTTGTAACTGCTGAGCACAGGGCACGGGTATTCTTACAGTTCTATTTGGTACAGACCTTCTTTTTGTAGTTCTCTAGTTTTGCTCCTGTGAGCCTGAGCAACAGGAGATGAACCAGAGAGATAAATTTAGGGGCATTTTTCTTTCAAGGAAATGCATCTGTTCATAGTCCATTCCACACATGGAAGGGAAAAAAAAAAATCTGACATTTTCAGTGAAGTTTAGAACTGGAGGGGCAAGAGTAAATCTTAGTGATTTATTGCCACGTATGTTTTTTTTACATGGGGTTTATTAAAGGAGAATTTATTCCTAACTCTTCAAGTTATGTATAGGAGATTGCTGAAAGTTTTTCGTTGTAAGTTCTGGAAGCATTGCTCACTGTGCAGCCAAGAGAGAAGGAATGTGACCCAGTTGCTAAGGAACAAGTTTCAGTCACTTCCAGATTCTGCAGAGAGAGACTTGTGCTCAGAAGTCAGGACTAGGGCAGAAAGAGAATTATCAGATTAAAACTTGACCAACTTTCAGCAGTCAGGAGCTTGTATCACTCTGCAGCAGTTTGGAAAGGCTTTTGCACAGCCTCTGTGGTAAATTGGTTCCGTTTTGTGTCTCCTGTCCAGGAGCATTTTGCTTTCAGCACTTTGCAAGAGGAACGAGTAGTCTAGAGAAGCTTTGGGTCTGGCTTGTGTTCACCAGTCCTCATTTTGGTTTCTGCCAGTGAAGATACTCCAAACAAAACTGTTCTGGTTTTATTTCTTCGTAGGGAGAGAGTGTATATGGCTTTCAGCTACCTTCAGTGTTTAAAACCTCTGGTTTGATCCTGCTGTTAACCACATGTCTTACATTTGCTTTCACTTTGGTGTTTCCTAATTTGCCTTCAGCAAGGAAGAGTTTGCAGAAATACATTGCACCTGTTCCACTGTCAGACAGTGGCTGTTTTAGTTTCACTTCAGACTTCAAAATTTAGTTCAGGAGTGAATTTCCTGATCAAAATGTTTTCTTACTTTAAAAAGTATAGTGATTTTCTGTCTTTTAATCAGTCGCAATTTCCTGAAAAATTTGTTCAAGAAGAACAGTAGGAGTTGGAGAATGTGCTGAAATCTCCATTAATCACTGGGTAGAGGAGAAGCAGGGACTCAGTTTCCCTACTTTGAAAATAAATGTGTTGGAGTTTAGTTGCCTTCTGTATAGCATGGGAATTCTCTGCCCTCTGGCAATTTTGTATTCCACCATCAATTCTTCATTGGATTTGCAAAATTGGGTTTTTAATTTTATCTCATTAAGAATCATTTTTTCATTACCATGGGTTGTTCTGAGTGAAGATGCAGCCGGGAAGCACGACAAGGAATAGGGCCCACACATCAGAGTGGTGACCGATGTATCAATGAGTGCTCACAAGTAAACATAAACTCATAAAATTGCCTCTTCTCTTAACTTTGCACTGTCATTAGCTGGAAATAACCCCAACTGGAGGTTATCAACATAGGTCATATTCCCAAGTTCCACAACAAGAACATGTTGTTGCAGTTTGTCCTCCAGCTTGAATAAATCTTTGTTTCCTTTCCTTCTTTGGTTCCAGCTTCGTACCATGTTCTGTAAACCAGGGTAAATGTTAATATTGGCAGTGTGTAAGGTTGGTGTCACAGCACAGAATTGGTTCTGTGCAAATATTTTTATAAAATACGACCTGTCCTTATCTTTGTTGTGTTTCTGTTAGGGCAGTTGGTGTTGAGCTTGGTGTGGTCAGGAGAGCTAGCAGAGAGCTGAAGGCACAACAGCCGTTCCAGCCTGGGGCCCGAGGAGGAATGATGTGCCTGGTGCTGTTCCTGGTTGCCTCTGACTCCTGGGTCTGGGGGATTCCAGTTCTTAGCTCATTTGACAGAGGTTTTTGAGCTTTACTGGGCAGCGTGGCCTGAAGGGTCACTGTGTGAGAACATCGACTGGAAAATGGTTGTATAAAAATGATTGCCAGGAGGTGATCAGTTAGAAATGTTTATCCTTAAGAAAACCCATGTGTTTTTTTTTCCAGGAAATTGAAAGGTTGGAAAGTAAACTAAATCAGAGCCCAGAAAGGTGGCAGCTTTTGTGGGAAAGGGTCAAAATGAATCTAAAGGATGACACTAGACAAGACAATGTAAGTGGA